TGAAACTGATATGCTTCTATCACATCTTTCGCCCCAATGACGATGAATTAGGGTTGTAGAGCGGGTCAATCCTTGGAGCTTTCTCCATGCCCGACAGATAAAACTTGGTGCGAATCGGGGTACATACGCTCCTGCTCGTCTAACTAATGTACTGATGTAATTCCTAATATGGCTGCCCGGAGAATCCGTAGCTGCTAAGGAAGAGGGTCGAGCCATAACGGATTGATGTGGCGTAGCGGCGACTGGAATCGATCTGAATGAAGCTTCAAGCGTAGTTCTGGGGCTTCTCCTATACCCCCCGCCTATATATATGGAGTGGAGGAAGATTTGGTGAGGAAGGTCATAGTGAAGTCAGCAAGCTGGAAAGTAGCCGCCCCTCTTTGATTGTGCACAGCCCCTGCCACGAGACACCTAATCGAAGAAGCGCCTTCCTCTCATCTTTTTTATAATTCAACATCCAGTTCATAGAGAACTGCCTACTCCCACCTCGACCGAGAAAGAGATCTAAGGCTTCTTTTAAGAAAGTAAAGCAGGAATAGATGGCCTGCCCCTAGCTCTCAAAAATTGATATATTTTGCTATCAAAGGAGTGCTTTCATTCCCTGCCACCCGCTTTTATAATTGGCTGTTCCTTACCGGCATCTCAAGAAAAAATCTTTCATGATCCATTCTTCCGGAATTGGATAGAGAATAGTTGGGATATTCCACTGGGAGGGAGAGGCGGGGGTGACATCAGAAGTAGGATCGTCGAACGGATAGCAGCATAACATTGAGAATTGACTCGTCGGATTAACCACTTAGACGGAGAGTTCCCCATATTCCATTTCATTGGCAACCGAAATAGATCTAAACAGCGTGCCCGGAGCGAAGGAAGGGCTTCAAAAATGAATGGAAAAGTCAAATCAATGAAAGGCCCAGATGTAGCCTTTGTGTGCGGAGCAAGCCTATACTGGCTGAGATGAAGAAAATGTCGACACCGATGAAATGTTTGAAAACATAGACAGCGGAAGGGAAGAAGTCACTCTCAATCCGATCTAGCAAGAAATGATATACCGATAAAGTCAAGCGAGAGAGCTCATTAAGAAAGAAGGCCATCTTTCATCCGCCTTTTTGTTTTAGATAGGGCGAGGCTAGTACGAGACTCCGAACCACGACGGATCTTGTCTTAGGAAATATAATGGGACGGGAGGCCTATCTGACCTTTTGTTTGATTCCATTTTCCAACCCTTTCTTTAGAACCAACCTGGAATGCAAACAAGGAAAGGGCTGAAATCTCCATATCTGATCCAGCAAACAAAACCTGACCTTAGCAGTGATAGAGATAGCATAGCTGTAGACAGGGGGAGGGCCCGGATTACCTTTTCTATTAGAATAAGGAAGGGAATCGCTTTGATTGCTTGCGACAGCTTATCGATGCTCGTTAGCGGTGAAGTCCCTCAAACCAGAAGTTTCAAAAGCGGGCCTACGAGAGAAATTAACTTTACATACTGATATAGCATACCGAAGGGAAGGCCTAATTGTACCACTCCCTTGACCTTCCGCCTGAACTGATAGAAGTTGGCTTGAGCTGAGCGTCTCTTACAAAAAAGGTGCCCTAGTCGCCTCGGTGGAATGCATTGAAGAAAGGAATCCACTCTCAACCCTTTCATTTTATTTAATAGAATGGTAAGCCGGTCTTATTCTTTTATACGAGTAAACAACTTCTGCTCTAACTCCTTGAGGAAAAAGTCTTGCATCTCGCCCAACTCCTACAAAGCCCACCCCCGAAGGAGAAAAGGAAGTTATCAGCACCGATGTTACTAACCTTATGCTTCGCCAATCTTTATATGCCACGGGGAATCGATCGGTTGAATCCGTTGCAAGCCTATCTTCCGAACCCCGCATCAAAGTCTTGTCACCGTGCCCGCTTGGGGTTGGGGTCTGTCTGAGTAAGGAAAGAGCTCGTAGCCACGTTATCGGTCTTGTTGATAACCTTGAGACCGGCGAAGACTGCGCTCCAGCTGGTGGTGAAGGAAAGGGGGAAGGAACTATAGAATAGAAGGAGCTGGACATGAACCGTCACGGTCTTTCTGGTGAATCAGTGCTGTTTGCATAGCACTCATAGGCTCTGGGACTGATGACCTTACTCTTCTAGTCTTTTCCAGTAAGCCTTGTTGGATGACTCAGAGCTCTTGTGCTCCCTCTTTTAAATATCCCTTTGCTGTCTTCGTAACCGCAGTGAGAGTAGGAGCTCAAGCAGTTGCCGCTGCAAGACTAGCCGCTCTTGAGTAAATAGCAGCTCTTACCGCGCTTGATGGTGAATAAGCCTTGGAATCCGTGTTGAGAAAGCATCCAATTGCTATTACAAAAGCATATCCCTTATCTAATTAGAAGGAACTTCTTTCCGGCGAAGTGACAGCGGGGAAGGCAAGGGACTGATTACACTAGTCAGACATGCCCAGAAGAGGAGGAAGGAAAGGTTGGTTGCACGTTATTTTTCCGTGTGGGAGTAATGCCTCCCTGCCGATTGCTTTATCTCTCCCCCTATCTCTAAAGGGGGACTCAGTCCTATCAACATATAGAGATCTTGCCTCTGTCGCTGCATAGAGTGATCTTCTTCAATCACCTTTCAATCTCCGAGTTCGAAGGGTAGAACAAGGGAAGGTCAAGGCTTTCCTCTCATTACTCTTTCCACGGCAAAGTCAGCATCTTAGCCCGAAGAGCAAGGATTTCTTCCTCTGCGTCTGCTGCTACTGATGTGCCGATCTGGCGTTATTAAAACCCCCATGTATCTATTGTTTAACAGCCCCAGGGAATTGGAATGAAACGGCTATAGCTCCTATATGAACTACTGGGAAGATCATAGCGGAGAAGTCGAGACCTAACAAAATAAGTAAACCTGAAGTGTCGCGAAAGACTGGGATGGGAAACAAAACGGAATGTACCGGATTTTTAGCACGTGCAACCATCAAACCAGAGACCAAAGCGGGGCTCGACAAAACAGAAAGTATCATGGTACCCTTAGTCCAAAAAGCCTTCCCTCCAGACAGAAAGAGAGTCTTTCCTACACGGAGTAGTTAATAAAGAGAGATGTGCTTGGTTGTTGACCAACAGAAAGGATGCATGGGAAAAAGACCTCAGATATCATAGGGAGCGTCGTGTCTTGCACGCGATCTTATCCTGTCCTAGGTGGCTGAGTGTTGATCCGCATCCGCCCGGAATGGCACTCTGTCGGCCAATTGCCGGAAGGTTGCGGACTGCAAACCCGCAGTCTGTAGGTCTTCACGTATTCGAAGGAGCTTACTTAAGGACTCCTCCCCTGTGGCGGTACGAAGATTATCCAGAGCTCTAGCCCCCCGTCCCATCCAATCCCCGGGTGAAGGCCCGCCATGACCTGACAGATATCGACCTTGACCTCGAATAGGTCTTCGGCTTGAATCCGGGCCATTTGAATTAAATGGGCAGAAGGAGAGGGGGATCCCCCCAAAAGCCTTCGTTGGATGGATTCCACACTATCCCCCCCTATAATTTCATCGTGGGGGTAGGGATAGGGGACAGGGGCTGCTTGATTAGCAGCTTCCTGCATAACAGGAAGAGCGGGAGGCATAACTTGTTCCCCCGGAAGCGGTTGATTGACTGTTGAGGTACTTCTACTACGCCCGGAACTGCCCGAATCCTCCACCAAATCGCTTGTATAAGTAAACAAATCCAAATTGGTGGATTCGGCAGCTCCGTGAGGCATCATGCCATTCCTGATGGAGACCCCCCCATCGGCACTGAATAGTGCCCGCAAAACGAATAAAAAAACCCAGGCAAGTCCCCCCGCGAGGCCTAATTTGAATAAAGCGTAGGATAGGACTCGACTACCAAGAGATAACCCTATTTTAAATAGTAGAGAATTCAAGAAATCTATCGAGCCGAGTTTCATACAAAGATAATAGAAGCCACCAAGTAAAGGAATAATTATTAGGAATGAATAGAATCGGTGGAACAGTCGAGGAAGACCGAGGAAGATCGAAGAAACTAGCAGACTGATCACGAATGAGAGACAAATAGGTGCAAATTCTGACATTACCAGTGCTGAAGTGAATTTATCCAGTTGAGGCATGATTGATTGAGAAACAATGATTCCCTCCGGACTCTCTTTCTGTCCGAAGTCTTGAAGGAAAAGAAACGATATGTGGTTGTTGACCAACAAAAATATAGGATTGGAATCGATGACTTAACTAAAGCCCCTTTCCTTTCAAAGAGGAAGAGCATGACTCTTTTTTTGATGCACTGACTTACTGACGGAATATCAAAGAGTCGTCCAAGAGCACTTCGTTAGAATTGCATGTGTTAAGCATATAGCCTAACTAGCATGATTGAGCCCTGCAGTGGTAGAACCTGGTGAACCTGGCGTACGACTTTACTTGCCAATTCTTCTCTTATGATATTTTTTACATGTGTTGTTTGAAACATCGCAGGAATGGCACGCAGAAAAGGAAAAAGAGGAATTCGGCTTCGAGCAGAGGTTTCGCAGAGGAGGTGAAACTCTTTTCGCTTGTAGGTTAGGCGAGTTAGTCGATAAGGAGAGGAAATTTCATGAGTTTCCCTTTTGTAAAAAGTATTGGTTGATTTCCCTTCTAAGGGAGAGATTAAAATGGATTGATCCTTCTTTGAGTCCCATGTTGTTCGTTTAGTCTAGACTGCTTTGTATAGCTTATCTTCTCCTCTGCTTAGCGGCTGTTAGCTTCGGAGGCAAAACCCTTTATTCAAGTAGAATGTAGAGGTGTAGAGTCAAAGAAAGACATTGAATTTGGTTTCACAAATCCAATCTTTGACTCCGGTTTTCCCCTCTTGAAGCTCTAGAAGGCCGATGTCAGTCAAGAAAAATGCGACTTTTGAACCCCCATGTATATCCCTCTCTCTAAAGGGGCTTATGCACTCCACTCGCTGTCTACTAAACGAGCGTTAGAGCGAGCGAAGCCTTCCATTTAGTGGCTTCCCCCCTTATCCCTCACCCTACTCTTTCATTTCCGCTTAAGCTTCCCCTGTTTGTGGGATTAATTGATTGGATACCCGAGAACCATAATCTTTACTAGGAACAGCTTCTACGACGATAGGCGTAAAGGCATGATTAGCTCCACAAATCTCACTGCACTGACCATAGTAAACCCCTTCTCGTTGTACCGAAATAGAGATCTGATTTAAACGACCAGGTACAGCATCACATTTGACACCTAAGGAAGGTACAGCCCAACTATGAGGTACATCAGCAGGTGTTACAATAATACGTAGATGAGTTTTGGCTGGTACAACCACTCTATTGTCCACTTCTAATAAATGTGATTGACCCAATTCTAGATCATCTTCTGGAATCGTATAACTGTCAAAAGTGAGTGACTGTTCATCGGAACTGTTATAGTCTGAATACTCATAAGTCCGATACCATTGATGTCCAATAGCTTTGATAGTCATGGCTGGATCTACTACTACCTCGTCCATTGAGTATAACAGAGCAAATGATGGTATAGCAATGAACATCAGGATGATACTAGGAAATATGGTCCGAAGAATCTCGATAGTAGTTCCATGAACAATCCTTTGCGGGATTGGATTTTTTTGATAGTGGAAATGCCATAAAGCGCGAACCAAGATCCGTGATACGAAAACCAAAATAAGAATGAGGAAGAAAAAGATATCGTGATGTAAGTCTATTATTCCTTGCATCATAGGTGTTGCTGCGTCTTGAAATCTTAATTGCCATGGTTCCGCTGCATCACAAGGAGCAATCGTGAGGAATAGCCATTCTAATTTCATTTGCTTTGGTTCATTTTTTAACTGCTCCCCCCAACAAGAGGAAAGACTTGTTTGTTGTAAATCGCTTCGCTGGTTGGGTTTACCAATCAAGAAAGACATGGGACTCTTTTTTCTTTGTCGTTGCTTGGCTGTAAACCAAGTGCTTTTCGATCTTAGCCGATCTCAGGTTGACCGTCTCTCCGGCCCCTTTTCGGTGCACTTATTGGAGAGCTCTTTGGGCCTGCCGCTTTCTCAATCGAAAATGGAAACCTTTCAAGATTAGTGAACGATTCTTTCTATCACTTACGTGATTTCTTCTCTTAGTAAATTTATAGAATAAGGGATTCAGGACTCAATTGAAAATGGTACTTTTTTTGATTGAATTCAACCAAACCAAGAACTTCTTCTCTTACATCAACTATCAACTATTATAATATAATAAGTAACTTCCTCCGGAAAAGCTATTATTCCATTCGAGGGACCTTTTTTACTTACTCCTAAAAAGTCAAATCGACACTTTTCTTTAGGGAATTTTTTCATAGATCGGATTTCCTTTCCTACGAGACATCGAAATGTGCCATTTTTCCTTGGTTGGTAAAATTGTCCTAAATGCTGCTGATTTCCTTTCTAAAGGTGCAATCCATAGAAGCTTTAGCAAAGGGCTTGTCGAAGGACCATCTTTGGGCATTAAAACTTCGCGGATACGCCTATGCCTGGCTTCCTTCCTCCACTGAACACTATCTACCGTGGCGTGGGATAAAATTTTATTATCTTCTTTCCTCGGTATTTACCGCTGTGCCCCTGCACTATCAAGAAGAAGGAATACCCGACAAAGTCCATTCTACTCATAGCGGTTTATTTCACTCCTAAATTAAGGCAGTGAACTTGGTTTGCGCAAGAATAGGTTGAGAGCTTTAAGCTAAGATCGAGACGGGAACAGAACTGAAAGCAAGTAGACAGATAGGTTGTTTTCGACGAATCCCCTGCTTGAGAATCAGCTGTTCGCGTTTCTCTCGCGCTATAGCCGAGAGAAAAGAAAGACGAAGGGGGGATCCTGCATGTGCAAGCTGGAACCTACTACCGAACCTACGATAGAAACAAGAACGAGGGAAACAAGGAATTACAAGCAAATGCAAGAGGAAGAGGGGTTATACCGAGCTAAAAGCAAGGGATAACAAGGAAAGACAGGTTATAAGAGTTAAGGTTTTAATGCGTGAAATGTACCAACCTGAAGCTCCAATATCGTTCCCATTACGTGCTTCTCCTCCTCGTAAGACTAACGGGAAGCACTAATGCTCTCTTGTGACTGGCAAACACCAGCTTTCAGCCTTTGTTTGTAAGTTAAATATAGGCTTTTCATCCCTACAACTTCACTTCCTAAGCTCAGCAAGACTGTAAGAAGGTGTTAGCAAGGTAGTTCCAGGCGAAGCAAAGGAAGCAACAGGGTTAGAACAAGGAGATAACAGAGGAGTTATACCTAACTAAAAGCAAGGGATAACAAGCAACAAGCAACAATGGATTCAGTTTCTAATGCTAGGTAAAACCTCTTCGCTTTGCTCGAGCATCTTAAAACCTCCTAGATTTATTGTTTATAGTCTTCTCTCTCCCTTAGGCGGACTTTCGATTTTGAGTAAGTTCCTATGTCAGAAAGAGCGGCCCCACATTTCCTGATACGATAACGGCGGATCAGCGACATCAATAAGTAAAGGAGTCAGGGGCGAAACCTTTCATCTGACACTCTATCTATATCTATAGCTAGATCAATTCCTATTATTTCTCACCCGAAGGAACTCAACTACCTTTCGAGAAGACCGAGACGAGAATCACGAGCTACCTTCCCTTCTGCCCTTTGTCCCGAGAAGCACTTCGCTTGAGAGAAAGAGCAGTCAGACTACTAGGGGAATCAGAATATCTTGAGCCAAGAAACCGCGCGGAAGGCGGGAAAGATGACAATTCAGTTGGAATCCACAAAAGAAGACAGAAAAACATGAAGTCAGGGGGAAAGAGGGGAACCTAGGGAACATAAACTTTGCCCCGGACTCGGGGGGTTGAGAGGTTTAGGCTTACTTTTCTTTGGCAGCGGGTTCACTGAACTGAATTCTATAGTATACCGGCTAGTCTGGTGGTAGCATCGGATTACCGGTCACTAGCTTTTTAGCAGCGGTTAGCAGACGCAAGGTGAAGCTGCTCCTAGGCTCGCAGGCAAGGGCGGATGAGAACTAAATTGCCTTATCTTTTCTTTCCCGAGGTCTTTCTGCCCAAAGCAAGCTAGCTAGAAGCAGAAACTCCTATTTAAGTAAGGCCAGCTGTAAACAAAGCAAACAAAAGATTCGTGGTTGTACCAATCCCATCGGATCCTTTTCTTCTGCTTTTTCCCAACGATATATCCCCATTCTTTAAAAAAAAAGAAAGCATATATTAGTTCCAGAGAATCATCCGAACATTCTGAGATACGGTTGTCAAATGGGAGAAGAGGAACGAGAGGCGTCCCTAAGCTTTCCGGCTCACTAGTAAGTGACGAGGGGTTTTAATTTCATTCTCAGAACCTCCTTCAAATTACAGAACTGGAGGGGGTCTCACAGGCATCTCTCTTCGAGCGGCAGTGCAAGCTCGGATGGTGTTAGCGCTGGCAGAAGGTCCGAAGATTCATTTCCAAAAATAGGAATGTCAGAGCAGTTAGTCCGCATGTCCCTAACTACCTTGTTCCTGATTGGATTGCTTTCTTAGTGTGGCATCTTTTTGTTCGCTGTCCACTAGTGAGATTATCATATATAAATGTAGATAGAGAAAGAGGCTAAGCCTACGTAATGCTATGGGAACAACTTTTTTTGTCCGCTTTCAGCTATGCTATATAGATGCGCTACCTTGTGAAAGAAAACATCATATGTAAGTAAGTAGCATCTAGAATCGAATCCAGAGCAGCTAAGAAAAAAAACCGAGTAGCTTGCGGGCCGGTCGTCAGTTCAGACTAGCTGGTCAGTGGGGGTCAGAGAGTGTTCCGTTAGTGTTCTCACAGTCTCAGTGCGACCTTGCTTGGTCAACAATTTGGAGAGTTTGCGAAACGAAGACTTTCGAGAACAAATATTAAACCGGGAAGAAAAAAGGGGAAAAAGTAAAGAAAGTAACAATAAGGCGCATATGGCACGAAAAGGAAATCCGATTTCGGTAAGACTCGATCTGAATCGTAGTTCAGATTCAAGTCGGTTCAGTGAGGGCGACCGCGAAAGTCACCGAATGGGCCAATCTTTTCCTTCCTTCAGTTTGTCCTATATATGTTGAATAAAAAAGCTTGGGATGGGAGGACGTAGCAGATGTCCGGGACGGACACGACTTCTTCTAACGCTAGAAGACCACTGAAAGAGACTCGGGACCAGAGCATGTCGTGAAAGAAGCACACTGGGCGGGCGTGCTTCGACCGTGTCTCCGGGGCACAGTTGAATGTAGATATCATGAACGCGAGGTGCAGGATACCAGGCCGAGAAACCCGGCACCCCCTATGTGCCGATCGCTAGCGCATCCAGGGCCCCGGCGCCCTGCGGAGCTGGAGAGGCCTAGCCTGATCTGAGAAGTGCTAATTCGGTTCGGATATACTTCATTCAAGAACGCCGCCGCCCCTGGAATCAATAAGAAAACTAGTGCTAAGTTTCAGATCAGTGAATAAACCAAAACGAAAGAAGAAAGAGACCTTTCTCGCTCGGCGCCTAAAGCGTACTATGCTCCGCTTCAACAAATGAGAGTTTTCGGTGGAACCGGTGAACCACGCGAGCTGGTTAGATGCGTGGGACAGAGGGCTCATAGTACCTGCTAGCGCAGCTATGCAGTGGAAGGGAAGGAGCCTAAATCGACCCCCTTATTTTTATTATTTTAAAAATAAATAATAAAAAAGTACAAAGAGATTAAACTCTCGGATGAGACTAAGCAGCCACCGACCGTTCCGACGCGCCCCTGACCTATTTTTTTTATTAAGACCGAAAACCTATCTAAAATGGAGCCTAGTTTAGGCTGTCAAACAAATGATAAAATAAAAAATATTTAATATAACCACTAGTAGGGATATGGATGGAGTCTCGCTCAGTAAAGAGAGTTGTAGATTCCTAGAAAAGGAGAGGAGCCTCGACTGTCTATGATGTTCTTAGTCAAGAAGCGCTAACGCTGCAATCTTTCTAAAGCAAGAAGCGAGAAAGTTTACTTTGAGAAAGAAGGTGCTTGTTGCCGCTTTCTTATTTTTTTATAGTAAGTAAGTAAACTTGTTTTGTTTTAGTTTATAAGGCGAAAGGTTGCTATTTTTATAATTATTATAGCGTTAGCGCTTTAGTTTTCAATAAGTTTAGGCTTGACTAAGAACATAGAAATGTTGAATCAGGGTGCGCAGGGAACCCTATACAAAGGGCCTTTCCCTTCAAATGACAACTGCCTCTTCCTGCTGCGAAGGCCTTGCACGAAACCAACCCCCCACCCCCGATCCAGTACCAGTTGTTTCGCTGGTAGGCCCACTTAGGTTAGGGGGGCATTGTCCCTCAGTTCTTACCAACCTCCGGTGTGTAATCGACATGTTGCTAACTTCAACTCGGTTGAATAAGAATCATTGATTCCCTTTGCTGTCCATTTATTATTCATTCAGGGCGCTCGGCCGGTGCTCCTTTTTTAAACCAGAACAACTCTGAACGTTTGAGAAGAGAAGATAAGGGAAGACCACCTGAGCGAACCGACCGAGGGGACTTGACTTATTCGAACCGAACGATAGCGGCTTAAAGCTAAGCCTATCACGAGCAGCGTCGCTGCTTGATCGGCGGGGAGAAGCATCTCAAAGTATGGGGCAAAGGATCAAGCGCTTTGACTTTGTCTCCCGGGATTCACCACAGGTTGGGTTTGAGAGCCGTGTGATGGATGACTATCCAGCACGGTTCGGAGAGCACTTTTTGTCAGCGTTGGTGAATGGAAGCCCCTCTATCAAGAAAGAAGCGGCTATTCCCACGGCGGAGTCACCATTGAATCTATTTATTATTATGGTAAATTAGTTTATCAAGATGTCAATCTGAGATCTTATTTCGGTTCGATACGTCCACCTGCGAGACTAACCTTTGGCTTTCGTCTCGGTAGGTGTATTCTTATACATTTTT